ATTCGAAAATAATAATCTCTTGATTATGTTAAATAACCCATACTAGAAAATATATCCACATATATAACCACATATATCAGTTTTAATTCATTCAGTTTTAGAACAATCATAAAAATACGTGTAAAAATTGTTTCCTACAGTGATTAGCTATTGCATACCTTTATCTAAAAAACATTTCCATAACACGTTTTCCACTAGATGCATTTCACACAAGAATTAAATGTAATCTCATCTTTCTACAAAATATAAATGTTAAGTGAAATATACTGATAATTATTGTGATTCTACTTGGATTTTATCATAACCAGGTCTAGCCAGGTTCTTTTTACTAAAAATCACTTGAATACACCAAACAGCTAACACGTATGATTAACCCGTTAAAACTATTTTAAAAGCTGAAAAATTCCCATTATATTAAAACATAATTAATATGAGTCAATTGAAGCTAGACCATCAAGAAAAACCTGGAAGCACTGGACGCCGTTTCGTCCACGATCTCGTCTCCGCGAGATTTAAACCCAGGATCTACCAGTCTCGCGCGCGAGCAAGAATGACTTCAAGAAGCATTTCCTGGAGTTCTAGTGAGAAGCACCGACCGGTGGAGTTCAATCACGTTTGTTGTGAGATAGTTACTCACTGAAGACAATGGTGTACGGTGGTGCGATTCCGTGAATTAGTTGAAGCTAAACATTACCACCGTCGGATGCCGGCCGACTCAGTGGTTTAAAGGGTAATCACTTGCTCTTGAGACCGGTGGGTCCTGGGTTCGAATCTTGCGAGGGGCGGGATTGTGGTTACGCAAAGCTGAGGGGTCCCATACTAGGACGAAACGTCCGTCCAGTGCTCCCAAATTTTCTGTGATGGTCTGGCCTCAATTGACTCATGATTTCAACTATTGAAATTATTAAATTCTTCGCAAACCCCCTTCTGATAATAATTAATATAAATGAAGAACATTCTTTACAATAATTTCTCATCAGGTTCTACAATTATCTCATATCCACATTAATAATCCATAAACTTTGCCAGATTTAAAGCCGAGTATATCATTTAAAATTGTTGTATGTGAATCAAGAATTGTTGTTTGTCATATTAAATCAAATCAATTCGGTAATGTCGGGGTTAACTAATATGATGTGTTAACTTATATCAGTTTATAAGTGAAATGAAATTGTGAGATAGATAATGTCTAAATTAAATGTAATCAACATGAGGTGAGGGAGAGAACCTGACCCAATTCATATTATTCTACATATTACGCAAATTCGGATTTTTATTCCATTATTCACTCTCTCTCTCATCCCATGTTGACCATACTTATTCTGATCATTATTTACCTCACAATTACATTTCCCTTATAAACTGATTGAGGTTAAATTCACTCGATGTCGTTTTACTTGTATCTTCCTATTGCTATTTAGGACAATTGACCACTCTCATGTTGCCATATTATTATTATTAGCTTTATTCAATATTATATTTTTGGTGCAATACAGAGTCCTCTGCACAATGTATCTCAGTAAGTTTCCGTTTCTTAATTCTTGGTTGATCCTGACAATAAATATTTAGTGGTCTCCAGTTAAAAGTTAGCAGTCCAGTCAATCGACATCTAAATAATATACATTCATTTTAGGCATATTGCCATTAACCACGACATTATTGACTGAGCCCTTTTTAACCTGCACAACGAAAGGTTTTATACATTTCAGAAAAGCACCTCAATAAGTTATATCAATAATAACCATAATGATGTATCAAAACAAACAAAATTAGATAACTTGTTGAAATATCTAGATGACAGAAATAAATAACCCAGATGTTCAAGCAGGCTGTATCATGTACAGATTGTCTTAATATAGCCTTCAATTACAAGCTTTTTAACATTTCATATTAGTCAACCCCAATATTAACACTTTCAAAATTGGAAAAAAATATCATCGATTTGTTTAAACTTCTTGTTTCTCAGTTCAAATAGAACAATGATGAATATGTTCCAGTAATAAGTAACCATTTATTCCTTTTATTGAAATAACCATTATATATCTTCTTCTTCTTCGTAGTTTCTTTTTTCTGATAAAAAAAATAATCTTTTTGCTCTAAACTTTCAATTATTAAATCAATAATATTCATTCAACCAAAAGTCATTTAAACTTGATGAGTAAAAGTTTTTTATAAAAAAAGAGAAAACAAAAATTTTTTATTGAAAAATCAAATAAATAAATGAATCTTTATTGTTTTAATGGATTTATTTAAATGAATAATTTTTATTGAATAAATGAAATAAATATTTGGATATTTATATGAGAATGAATGATTGAATGAATAATAGTTTCTTTATGGAAAGAAAAAATATTAGTCGTAAAAATAAAGATTTTAAAACGACTAATAAATATTATCGGCGAGACTATAAATTATGAACGAGCCAATCAGAAGCGATTGAGGGATTTCAAGGTTACGGCGTCAAATTCAGTTCCTAATGCTAACATACAATTGGTTCATAGGGGATTTTATACAAAATGTGATAATTGAGCGTTGATAACAAATAAAATGGCGAGACTATAATTTGTGAACGAATCAATCAGGTAGAAGATAATAGATCTCAGATTTGGGTGTGAAAGTCTTTCATCCATTTGACTAAATAGATTTCTGGCATTATAGCTGATATCAGTTGGTGATGAAAACCCAATATATAATTCGTAACTAAGGCGAATTGTGACAATTATTGCAAAGTGGATAATAAAAGCACCTGTAACACTAGCTGGAGCCATGTACTACAATATATACGGATGATTGGAGAGCGTACAGACTCCTAAATACGCTTTATCATGTGCATTGTTTCGTTATCCACAAGTGGCATTTTGTGTACTCAACAACTGGAGTGCACACAAACAATATTGAAGCTATGTGGTCAATGCTGAAATAGTTTTCGCAACCATATAATGGCTCCAGAGACCGACTATTGTGTAGCCATATGGATGATTTTCTCTACTGCATGAATTACGATTTTAGAACTTCTGAAGTTTTTGAACCATGTATCAGAATTGTATCCAGTTTATTTCTTTGATTTTGTATAATGTATTTTTACTCTATACTTACTGTTTGCTGATTGGCTAATATTTTTCAAGGTCACTTAAGATTCGTTCAAAGATCGGCCATAAATTAGAATCCCTCCATACTTTCTTTGTGTACTTTGTTTTTTTATTTTTTTAGTTCTATTTTTCAGGTGACTGATATTGTTAATTAGTTGGTTCAGTCCAATAAAACAATAAACGTGAGCTCGACTCTTTATGGAAGAAGAGATTCAAACTAAATCTTATCTTTTTCTTCAATTACTTGATAAACTATACTTTAAATTTAATCAAGTAATTCAATACGAAGAAATTTCTTAATAAGACATTCGTAACTCTTTGTCAATAATAAAACATACTTATTGTAAATCATCTCTTTACATGAATCCTAATTAAAACCACCTACCTGTTGTGACGTTAGGTTAAAACTGTCCCTAGCAACCCTATCTAATTTGAGTAATATCTAACATTAACAGTATATCACTATAACATATGACAAATGCATTACGGTAAACCTGATTGACATATTTTGGTATTTATTGCTTTGTTGTTCCATGCTCTCTGATTTCGTTTTATTTTCTCTAGTTGTAGATAATTATCAATATTTCGTTCTGGTACATGAAATAATCTTAAATATATCGTTTATAAATCAACAGGCTATCTACTTAAGGAAAATTAAAAGTTCCTGGCGGATGCACTAGATTCCTGCTACTTTATTACTGCCTCAACAATCACTGAACTAGTATACTTAAAACTATCGTGTACCACATTGTTTGTTCTCTACATCTAATGTTACTATTTATATCAAATTGATCATGCCTGTAAACTGGCATGAATTCTGTGGATACTCTTAAGAAAATTCAGTTTTAATCATCATTGAAATAACTGATTCTAGTTTCATAGAAACATGGAAAGTAGTCAAATGTCTTTCATTTAGAAGGATTTCTATATATTATTAGAATAGTTAAGTACGATTTTTCTAATAATATAAATTCACTGTTTGAAACTTTATTCATTGTCATTCAAAAATATATACTTTACTAGTATCAATGTGTGAATACCCACGACTTATTTAAAGTAAGAACAGGTATTGAAATCTGCATGATAAACCCGCTGGTTAAGTGATGATTTAATTTCGGTATGGTAGATTTGTGGAGATTGTTCAGTTAGAAGACAGTTTGTATTATATTCTGAGTTTAACTAGATAACTACTGAAAACATGATGTCATTTGACAACTATTTTCTTATCACTAGTAAAGGAGCACTTGCTCTCCAGTTGATCCATACGAAATTAGGGGTTTAAAACTAATGTCCAAACCGAGTTTTTAAAAAATCTAGGATTCAGTTATTGTCTGTGATCTCAGTTATTTTCAAAATTTATTTAAATGATGTATCAGTTAGACAACAAACTTAAAAACAAGGCATTACTGCATACAAAAATGATGAATAAATAGAAGAAAATGTCAATGAAATACACGATTTCGATTAGACATAAATAAATATGGAATGTGGAAAAAACTGAATAATTATTTCACAATATTTGATTCTTATGCAACTGGCACTGTAATCTTTTCCTGATCTCAATAGCACTTAACGTCAACCTGACGACTGACCAGTGCTGACGGCTAAATCATACAGTTGGTCATTTTTGCTATGATAACATAGTGGATTCATGTTTCACAAGTTGAAATATTTAAAGTATATCTAAATCACTACTTACATCAAAACTTAATATTGGGATTATTACAGAACAAACTGTGATCTAGTACTGATCAATATCTTAGTTTTTAAGGGAAATCTTTAATTTAATTTTCAAAAGGACATAGACATTATTTTTCCGAGAAAAATAAACCATCTCAGATGAACTTCGGATTCTTAAAATGAATATCATACACTAATAAAATATTTCTTTATTATTCATAAAATGATTTTACGTGTAAAGCTAAAATCTAAATAGATACGAGTATGGTAAACTTATAAACTTAATAAAGTGACAATAATGAAAGTAAACTATGATATGATTCAAGACTTGTTGATATAGTTCAGCAAATAAAATTTTCTTTCCGATATCATTCACTCAAGCTGTACCATCATATTTGGGATTAATTTATACATAAAATAGTCGACTGAAAATTAAGACGACGATTATATCATATTATGTATCGAAGAAAGTGGCTTTATAATCGTGCGTTGAAGAAAGAATAATAAAGAATTAACTATGCGAAAAATAATTGTCCACTTGACGAGTATGAGAAAAATGAAGAATAAATCAGCAACATGGTGATTATAACGAACAATTAAAATTAATAAGATTAAAAACATTAGATGAGTGTGATGAAATCAGATTACCATTTATAAAAACCAAGCGTTGAAGCCATGGAAAAATGGTTCTCACATATCTCTTTTGACCAGAGTTCAGTTTAGAAAAGATTGTTTGCTAACGGCTTTGCAGTGCATAAATTACTGATATGCACTCCTATCAAACCAAATTATTGATCGTTAACTACAAGACAATCTCAATAAAATTTAGTCTTAATTAGTGAACACAATTTGTATGTAAATATAAGAAGGTACATCAACAATGTGAAAGTTAAACTATATGCGTCCATGAATGGATATCAGCAATGAGATGTAAGGATATCCTGGTGACTAGTTCTGTATAATATAAAATGAACCTTCTGGACTGCAATGCCAGCCATCATTTTTTGTAGGATTCTAAGACATTCATTGCAATTTGAAACCTTCAAGTTTTAAAAAACCATAAAACATAGTCGAGCCACTGTAATATACAGTAATGTATTACTTTGTAACTAGTGTTTCAGGGTACAATCGACTGTTTTAAAACTTCATTAATAAATAAAGAAATGAATTACTTCAGTCTGAAATATTCTGTTGTACGGTATATCTCAAAGTCTCTGGAACAGCTTAAATTTCACATCAGTCATAGACTACATAAAATGTCAATGTGCTTATATATTTTCTACGTTTAATTCGACTGTACACTTTGTTTTTATTTTTGATGACAACACAAGTAATGAAATAAAGAATATAAAGATATATTTTTACTATACAAATTAAAGAAAACTTCATTATATTTTTAATAGATTCGCTTAATTTCACTTCATTTATTTCTTTCTTTATTCGGTTTGTTCTTTGCAAAGGTTTTTCGACTGATAAATTTTAAACTTAATAGTCATAATAATGAATAAAAACAGCTATGAAACAACATAAAGAAAGAAGGATATGTAAATGAGAAACGAAAATAATAGCCACAGGGTATGACAATCAGCAAAGAATAGGTATGTATGTGTGTGTAAAGAAACTGAAGACAATCACAACAACACTTATGATAATGGTGATGTGTCAATAACAAATAACTACAAACAAACAGTTACGGTGACGAATAAAACAACGACAAATAGAAGTTAAGACGAACACTTGATGATGTATTAATGTAGAATTCTCACTTATTTACACGATAGAAACATTAAAGATACATTAGTTAAACAATAATTCATTTCTTAATTATAAAAAATAGATTGAGGGATCATTTGAAATAAGAAATAATATCAGTAGTATAATCATCATTGTGTTCGAATACAACAAATCTTCATGAGATGAGTCTAATTTCAGTTAAGTAAAACTAAAACCAAAGATATATATATATATGTATAATACCCAAATAAACACTGAAACAAATATACTGATATACTTTTCTTAATAGATGATCATTATTAATCGAACACTTACAACTTATTATACTTCTATCATCAAGTCCATTATTATTTTGATGTAAAACTCGATTAAAAGTTACAAATATACAAGACTTTTATTCTTTCAAAATAAATCATTAAAACTTAAATAATGATAATAATGATATTGACAAATCCCATAAAGAGATTTCTTCATTCATTTACTCTTCATTAGTTTTCATTTAATTTGTGAGATTTGCAACAACAAAAGAAAAGAAAATTAATAGATAATTGTTACGAAATAATTTATACTTATGAAAGAATAAGAAATAAAGTTGAATACATTGAAAATGAATACTTTGAATATATAACATTAATACAACTTCTATAAAGAAACAAATTGATCAAACTATTCTGATGAAAGACACATATAAAACGAAGAGAAACCAAATGAGCATGGAGAGAGAGAGAGTGACAAGAAGAGAAATATTGAACAGTCAAAATAATCTGTTTATTTTTCCAGTTTCAAATTCAAGCTGATCTAAAAATCATAATCAATCAGCCTGAACAATAATTAAGAAAAGATTTACTTTAATAAACTGAAATTATTGAATTAAAATTTCTTTTGAAATAAACAAAAGCATTAGTTAAAAGCACTGAATATCAGTAGTATTCAGTAGTATTGTTAGTAGTACCCACAAAAATACAAATAATCATTATAGTTATATATTATAATGAAAGCAAAAGAAAAAATCGTGTAACTATTCAAGAAAGAATGTTAGTAGAAAATAAGGAAATATACATTTTTTTTAAAAATTACTGTTATGATGTTGATGATGGAGAAATGACAGCGTTAAATGTATTGACATTTGTTGCCACTGTTGGATCAGCCGTAGATGAATCTGCTATATCCATACGTTTATCAGATTCATATGATTTTAAACGTAGACGAGCGAAATCTTCAAAAATCAAATCATCGTCGTCATCAACACCGCCACCAACACTACTGACTAAATATGCTTTACTGTTTTTGTAATGATTCGTTGTTTTGAAAAAAAAGAATAGTAAAGAGAAATGAATAGATTAGTTTAAAGAAAAGTTCGTTTTTTTCACACGGTATTTATTAAAAGCATGAGTTCTCACAATAGATATGGTTAATTACTCTTTACAAACTAAAAAATGAAAACATTTTACACGCACATTCTGATTGATCTAATAATATCCAAGTTAAATATCTTGTCAGCGAGAAATATAAATCTGGCGACTGAAAAGTGCTTACGGTGTTCTGTTTTCGTCATTCAGGCAAGTAAGTTACTTGTTAGAGGCAATTCGCAGTTAGGAGAGGAATACAGGACATGGGTTTAATCGAGTTTACGATTGAAAACCAATACGTACCGAAATTTCACTGCGCCTTACATCTAGTAACCATCATTTTAAATGCCAACCTATCGTTTAAATTGCCTACCGAGTTCAATTAGCTAATAAATTGTTGAAAAGGCATATATTAATTTCTCATTATTTATTATTTTCAATCGTTAGTAATAAAGATCTGAAATGTTTAGTCTGTGTTGGGATACGTGTATCATGGTAAGATAACCTAGAGATGTTTATGTTACGATTTAGTAAATAAAAATATTGGCACATATTCTGATTTATTCTACAGTACTAAACAGATTGAATATATGAATAAATGCTAAAAAATTTAGATTAATAACTTATGGATTGATTACGGTTAGACAATAAAAAGCCATCAAAATTCAAGTTCTGTGAGCCAATATTCAACAGAAAATCGTATCTTTCATCATTAATAACCCAATGACCATTATACGACTATAAAATATATCATACATTGCCGGGGATGTTACTATAGAGATTTACAGGCCACGGACGACAACTAGTACGAATTTTGGTATTAGAGCAATCGTAACAAAAGAATCAACAAAATAATTTCAATGAATAGCCTTAAAGCATAAGAATATCAGATTACCATTAATTTACAATTATTAGGCCCTTTTATCTTATATAAAGTGATATTGCTATCAGAATATCACAGTAATGTCTAGTTCACACGATTCCTTAAATAAATACTGTTAAGCTTCATGATATTTGTTGTTTTCATAGATTTATATTACATACAAGTTTGAAAAAAGGTAGACTACAATTTCACATCATCTGGCCTTAGAAATGTATGGAGTCATGAAATATCAGTATCTCGACGACAAAAAAGAAACATTTAGCATAATAATCCTTATTGTGCGATAGGCGCGCATGTTTGCTACCAGATTATAACATTTTTGATCAATAATCCATCTATTCTCTTCTTTTTAATGTACACTTGCAAACATACATGCAGAGATCCAGACAATTCAAATACATATTCACACTCTCATACACAAAATACCTATCCTGTAAATAGAACGCTAGCTAACTACCAATAAAATGATGATTAATTCATTTCAACTATATTTTCAAGAAATATAATAATGTCAAGCATAGTTGTTCAAGTGAAAAAGGTAAAACACTTTATTGAAATCAATCGTAGATATATAATACATTCGAAAAACAAAGGGGAATATTAATGTGTAAATGTTAAATTTCATGTTGTTATTGTGTTTTTTTTAGAGAGAGAAGATTTTTTCTAACACCTTCCATCCTATCTAAACAAAACTGAGGTCCTGGGTTCAAGTCCCGGGAGGTGGTATCGTGGATGCGCACTGCTGAGGAGTCCCACAATAGGACGGAACGGTCGTCCAGTGCTTCAAGGTTTTCCATGGTGGTCTAACATCAATTGACTCATGATCTCAACAATTGAAAACTAAGAATATTAAAAAGATGCTCTCAGCTCTAAGTTTTCTTAAGAAAAACTCTTGTTCAAATATGATTAATCAACATGAAGTGAGGGAATTAATATTGTTAACCAGATTGAATCAATAAATTTACAGTTGATTTAATTACAAGATATAGAAGTTATATTATGTATTCTATAGATAATCAAACTATTATATTCAACTACAAATAAATACCTCATAGTATTCATTCACTCAATTATCATGTGTTTATTGTACATTTGAACTAAAACAAATATAACACACAAATGCAAATAATCACTAGTTTTATCAATAACTACAATACCACGTGGTTATAAAGTGTGACTTTTTAGTCTTGTTGTGATAAACTATTGATTAATAAAATATGATCTAACCTATGTAGAAAGAAATATACCATAAATTATAAGATTGTGTAATATGATTACTTCGACTATTTAACTTTAGATTTATATTTTTAAAGAAGAAAAAAGTCAAACATATTTTCAGTTCATTTTATTCGTTGGACATAGTTCTAATGATTAATGATGCTGAGGGGTCCCACAATAGGATGAAACGGCCGTTCAGTGCTTTCAGGTTTTCCATGGTGGTCTAGCTTCAACTGACTCATGATCTCAACCATTGAAATTACTATAACATCAACAATACCCCTGCTGAGATTAATAATGTGTTAGTTTTTTTCAAGATAAATATTATATTATTCTATAGTTGCTTTAAATAATAATTCAACTATTTAAATGTTTAAAACCCCTAATAAATCATTGTATTATAGATAAACTATATTAATAAGAAATCAGTTTTAATATCAGTATTATTTCTGTTTAATATGAAAATAGTTTTCATCATAGATAATACCAACAGCTAATAGATTATTGGAAATCATAGAACATTGGATAGTTAGGGTTTTGTTTTAGTATATTATGTTATATACGATGCAACGAATTCTTAGTATAATAAAGTACCGAAATGTATATCAAATCACATTGAATAGTCTATTCGTTACTATTATATTAATTGATTAGTTTTGATCAAGAAAAATAGTAGATGTATTTATGTTTATATTAAATAGTCTTGTTATTTTATGATTGTTGAATAAAATGTTTAACCTATGTTTATTAATTTGTAACTATAATCAAAATATTTTGGTTACTAATGTATCCAACTCACTTGTCATTTATTCCATCATCCAATTTAATTAAATCATCTGTAATATTTACATTACGATCAGATGAACTTTGTTCGTTTGAATAAAACTGGGATTGTTGCAAGATATGCTGATTATGTTTTAGTCTATCATCAGATCCAGATAACAAAGGATGAAGAATATCATTATCATCATCAATAACTAGTTTTGATGAAGTACCATTGACATCTGAATCAGGTTTTGGATGAGTTAGTGTGAATGGAAGTTCCACGCTGACATCACTAAGAAAAACAGTTGGAAAAATTATAAACAGAAATTTAGTCGACGTATTAATGATATCAGAGGGGGCTTTTGTGGATACTATAGTAATCTCAGTAATTGAGATTATGAGTCAATTGAAGCTAGACCACCATAGAAAATTTGGAAGCACCAGACAGCCATTTTGTCCTACTGTGCGCATCCACGATCCCACCTCACGAGATTCGAACCCAGGATTTATAGTTCTCGCGCACGAACGCTTAACCTTTAAACCACTGAACGGCCGGCACCCAACGGTGTTAATGTCTAACTTCAAATAATCCACGAAATCGAGCGACAAATCCACCATTTTCATCAGTGAGTTCCTATCTCACAAGAGACCCGGTTGAACTCTAGTGATCACTGCTTCTCACTAAAACTCCAGGAAATACCTCTTGAAGCCAGTCACTAATGAGCATATACTAAAGAGTCCCATAATAGAACGAAACAGCCGCTCAGTGTTTCCAGGTTTTCCATGGTGGTCTGGCTTTAATCGAGTCATGGTTTCAACTACCTAAATAACAATAATATCTAGGTCACAACTGAATTAGAAAGAACTATCTTCAAACTATTCAGTCATATGCTATTGGTGTTTCTACCTTCAATAAATAACTAAAGCTATTTTTCTACTCAATATCAGCAAGATACAAAATGCCAATCCTTATTTGTTTAAATGAAAACAATACATTTGCATTCAATACTTGTAATGGTAACATGAATTTTGACAGTCAGTGGTTGAAAACTTTTTTTGTGTGTCTAAATAATGCAACCGCATATTGCATTATTCATAAACTTTCGTAATCATAACATTTTTTATATACTTTTAATGTCTTTTCAATGCAGTATTTAAGGTAGAATTTTAACTAGAGTATTTCTCAAATAAGATTCACAGATATTCATAAATAACATTTTTTTCTATGAAAAATACCGTCACATTTTATTTAAATATTAGATTAGTGACAATGTTGTCTTAAATAAGGATAAATGAAATTCAAAGCATTATGTTTCTTCTTATAACACCATGCAAAAAGGTAAAAAAAATACAAGTGAAATGTTGAAACAAATATTAATAACATCTCAAATAAACAAACTATTTCGATATATAAGTAGTATATCAGTTAGTGAAGAATCAAATGTAACAATACACTTGGGTTGACAGGTGCAGACTTCATAGTTTAAGCTCTTGTTATTATTTCAATCGATGGTTGACAATAATGTGTGAAATTGTTATGAATAGGTCGTAATGTTGATTTTATCTTCCATGATATACAGAATTTCAGTACTATGTTGCATATTTATATCACAACTTATTTGTCAAAACTTTTGTATCACCAGAATTACTGTCATTACTTACAGTAATTATATGATGTGGTAACTTAAAGCGTTTCACATATGTGCCATTTTCTACGTTGCGTATGACTAATTATAGTGAACAGAACATCCATATGAAGTAAATATATGAAAAGTCAACACGTAAGTACTAAATGCAAATAATTTTAAGTTACATCTTCAAGACAAACTTTTACCTAGTAAATGGAAACTATTCTCAAAGATCTGTATTTACAGTTATGGCAGCTAACTACGAAGCTTACAAAATAACCTGTTCAAACAATTAACTTCAACTTATCACGGAATATATCAAGTACAAAAAGCCATGTATAATTATCGAATAAGTTATGTAAATAGAGTGTATTCGTTTCTATAATTTATCAATACAAAGAATACAGCATTCAAACAAACTTCAACCGAATTCCAGTGAAAACAACAACGCTTGTATACAGGTTCATCTAATTGATGAGTCCCAGATAAAACGAGAAGTGAAAATTAAACTTCGTTGATAACCACTATCCATAAATTCTAAGTAACTTGAAACATAATAGTTACATCGAGGCAAATCCCATGTAATCCACATATGTCAACAAAGATTGACAAAACGAGCCGCTTACTAACAATGATATAAATGCAACATTTATTTTGAATAATCTCGATAATGAATGCATGCTTTTGGGTTACTTTTTTAAATAAAAAAAACCCAATATTATCAATAAATTATTAAAACTTAATGAACCCCTAGTTGTAAGACCTTAAAGAAGACATAAATAACATACACAATACTGACTTACTATCCCTAGAGGTGTGAACATGAATTTCTTTGTTAGTTATCATGTTCTTTTCTTATGTTCAAATTATCTAGTTGACTTTTATATATCATAAATAAATATGTGGTCACATTGTTCGACATGTATTATGCTATTATATTAAATAATTCTGAGAAACCATACCTTCATACGGAATCATTCAAGTTGAATAAAATAATTAATTATTTTAATATATATGCTGACGAAAATAGATGAATGAATAGTTTATAAAACTAATAAATAGGAATGTACAACCTTCTCACCTTGACACGAATCCCAATACTAATCGAACTTTTACACGATACTGAACAGTCATGCCAAGATTTTCTTTATGGTTCGGATTGCATATACTGTTAATATATTAAAATTAGAAAAAAACCTAAATAATGATCCACTTCAGTCAGAAGTATTATATTACAATTGAAAGAATATATTTAGTAAGGAGGAAAATAATTTGGTTATACAACTAACATCAAAAGAATGTATAACCTAAATGCAATGATAATAATAATCAACATATGCTCACTAGTGACTGGCTTCAAGAGGTATTTCCCGGAGTTCTAGTGAGAAGCAGTGATCACTGGAGTTCAACCGGGTCTCTTGTGAGATAGGAACTCACTGATGAAAATGGTGGATTTGTCGCTTGATTTTGCGGATTAGTTGAAGTTAGACATTAACACCGTTGGGTGCCGGCCGGCTCAGTGGTCTAGAGGTTAAGCGTTCGTGGGCGAGAACGATAGGTCGTGGGTTTGAATCTAGCGAGATGGGGTCGTAAATGCACACTTCTGAGGAATTCCATAGTAGGACGAGAACGGTTGTCCAGTGCTTCCAAATTTTCCATGGTGGTCTAGCTTCAATTGACTCATGATCTCAATTATCGTTATTTTATCTTAGTTTGAAATTATCAGATTGAAATAATAATATTAAACTAAACAATCAGAATAATAGTAATAATATTCTCAAATTATTGTTCGAAAAAATACGAGTCTTGTTTTTTGATTCTACTGTTGTTGTTATTGCATTATTCAATAATATAATATTTATAACTGCTAACTTATTCAGTGGATGTCATGTTCTATCATCCATTTCCAGCTTAAAAGCATTAAAAACTTTGTTTAACAAAGATTCAGATAAACTATTTGACCATAATCATATATTTAGAAATTAATGATTTTCGTTAGCTCATGTCATGCTTTCTGGTGAGTGACCTATGCTCCTCCACGAGGGGTAACAGGCTTAAGCAAGCAAGTAAATAAATAAGGGATTACATGAAGTAAGGGACTATATGAAACAATCTAAAGAAATAACGAAAACAAATAGTTAGAAGATATAGGTCAGATATTGCTTATGGTAATATTATGATAGTAATATATTATTATAACTATTATTATTAATAATATATTACTATGATAATAATATAAAAATTAAACATTTAAACTTGATGTTACACCCTGTGTAAATAGTGTTATTATTAAGGTGTTTTATTCTTTCTTATTGAAATCAATTACAATTGAATATAACGTTTATTCTATGGTACAATATTGTGAATAAACTTTTCTTTTAAAACAGAGAAAATAATTACCCTAAAAAGAATGAAACATGGAGCATTAAGTGTTAAATGGATGAAGATAATCAATATAAAGCTTAGACAGTTTAAAGTTGTCACAATAAACACAATATCATTGAATCACTGAGTATCCATACAAAATTCGGTCAAAATTCAATAGTATATATATCTATATTTTAAAATAACAATACAAATAATAAACTTACATTGTGGATGAAGCCAGATTAGTATCTTCATGTTTTAATTTACCATCTAATGCTAGACCACGTTTATGTCTGTTATTGGCAAGTAATGGACGTAGTTTATATACTTTACACCAACCCGTTTGACTTGGTAAAATAGGAAATGACTCACTATCAACCAAAATAATATTAAAAATGCTAACAAATGATTATTGTAAATATTACTCAAAATAAATAGTTAAAAAAGAATAATTGGAATGCATGTAAACTTATCCGAATCATTCTACAAAACTGTGGTAATATTAATTAATGATACTATGGTTTATGATGTTACCAATCGGAAATGAAATGCATGCCAGCAGAAGATTGAGAAGATTCAATTGAAGAGAACAGAAAGAAAAGCAGAAATTAGCTATGATAACAATAGAAGTGAAAGAATCATGAAGCATGTAAAGAACAACTGATGGGGGATATGCAAATTATATATTAAATGTATAGCTTTCAACAATAAATTGATCTTTCCCACTTAAGTTCTCGTTTACAACGACATAACCAAGGATAATGATGATGATATGAATGATAAAAAGAAGTCAGACATATACAGTAATAAAGTTAATCAATTATGAAAAAGATATGCATTTACACTTAATAATACTTTTTATCAAACGTACGATCATTGCTTTGAATTAAAGTTGTTGAAAATTTTCAGGAGTCCCAATAACACATACTGCGTCTAAGTTGCATTTATAATCCTAAGAGAATTTAATCGTTTTCGTGGAATGCGGTCTTATATCAGTGAGTATCATACTCACAGAGATTACTATTCAGCCGTTTGGGCAATAACTCTCCTTTTATAAGGATGAGATGCCCGCATTAATTTTTCTCTGAATATTAAAGAAAATTATATCATCTAGTCCTAGCAATTGTCCTCATTCCATCAATCATCCCTATGGTGTGGTCAATGGTTCAAGTGACTCGACATCATAATTAGCTTTGTTTGATATTAAATAACTTTATGACAACAGTAGAAAGTGTTGAAATTCGATCAGTAAACAACGATTAACACTAAGTACTAAATAAAATAAATGGAACCTATTCGTCGTAAAATCCAATGTAGAATAATAACATTAATTGGACAGAACGATTATTTGAAAATTTTTTTAGAATAATTCAACCATAAAAGATTTATTGCATTGAATGAGAGTAATTGATTTCTCAATGTTTTAGGGTCTACAATGACTGCATGTTCGTTTTATTAGGTTTGAATTATATGTGTTGTTTCTTGATGCCTAAACACTTAATCTTAACCAGTTCAAAAGAATTTTCAGCTCTTACACTGATTACTAAGTAAGCTGTTTATTTTATAACAACGTATTCACTGAATAAAACTTATTCAACATTATAATTACCATGTTCATTTCAAGCTTTGAATTATTTTCTTAAATATTCCTTATCATCATCATCATAACTGTCACCATTAATTCTGATATTGAATTGCTCTCAATCAATCGTGTCCCTTATCTAACCGACATGTTTTTTCTATACCTAATCGTAAAATTCAGTTGTACTAGTTCAAAGATATGTTAAAAAGCTTAATCGAATAAAACATTTTTCTCATTAATTTGTTTAGATTATTCGAAAATCAATTATTGAATAGTAGAATTAGAATTAGAGAAAAACTAATAAATCACATAGTGAAGTCTTCTAATGGCTAGAAAATTCATGTTTTAATTTTCAAATTAATAGAACATTGACAGTACAAACACCACTCTTTATTAGATACACTATACTAGTCAATGTACATTTTACTAAAGCTAATTACTATCAATGAATTCATTTTGTATACTGGATATTCAGAGTGATTTTTTCTCGTTCAAAGTAATTACGTTAATATATACGTGATCACAAATTACATCCCATAATTAAAATTCCATATAATTGATCATACAAAATATTCCGATAAAATAAGTCGATATTTTCATTCTGTTATGCTCGAATACGTTGTATAAAACCTAATGATACTACTCACACTTAAAAATAATAAACAAAATTTGTATTTAAAATCTAGTGGTTAAAAGGGAATTATTTTAGTAAATACGAAACCACAGCTCAACTATATTCAAACAAAAGATAAATGACACCTCCTAGAATTAGTTATTTGAAATAAGTTGAGACGGGATGTGAATCATCAGTATTGCTACAGTGAATCTATTGGTAAAGTGCAAGCTGAAAACAATATATTGGCTTGACAATGACACCCTCCATGAAGTACTATATTTATTAAAATACTGAGTTTGCTAGACTTATAAAGATACCCTGTCTGATTTAATATCCATAATAATCGAAATCTTTCGAATGTATTCACATAAATTATAATATCGTAATTCATATTGTTTGTGCAAACTAGAAAAATCGTTAGTTTAAAAGTTGAACTGACCCAGTACACTCGACAATGTAATGCAGTAAAGTTTATGTAAAGATATTATGATGTTTTTGCATAATAATAATAACAATAAGTGAAGGAACTTTTTCCAATTTAACAATGATTTTGTAGATACAAACATTCCACTTTAATTAGAAAAACAACATACATTGGAATTTTGTAAGATATTTCCCACTTAATAATTGCATGTTAGATTATAATTTTTTTCTCACTGTAACTGCAATTTATCGATTTAGTAATCTTGGCAAACATTATGTGCGCTTTTTGTCGAGTAATATCTCATTTATACAACTTCGATATAATTTCAATATTAATTCAATGTAAACGAAGTAAAGTCCCAATTTTATTGTCTGATAAGTGATCAATTACCATTCATAATCATTTTATTATATTATTAGTAGCTATTTCGTCGTTTTGTCTCATGATATCTAGTCATTTACAACCTCATTACTATTTTTTTCAAAAGTAAACTAGCTTTGAACGATTGATAGGTATCAATTCAGATTATCAACTACACAGGCGAATGCAAATAATATACTTCTCTATTACGATAACGATAACCAATTGACAAGATTATTGAATTATATTGTTAAATAATAGCAGAAATAAAGCAGAGATGATAGTGGCCAGCAGTACAATTCAGGACGCGCATTTCGTCTTGTTTCAGGCTTTTCAGCCAGATGTTTATGCATCTGATAGTTCAGGTTTGCTTCGGGACCCAAATGAGACGAAACACGCGTCCTAGATTCCACTGCTAGCTGCCATCTATCCTTGCCTATAATGTTTGTGACTTAAGGCAATATCGAAGCAATCCACACAGGATGCATATATGCCAATAAGACTGATCAATTTCAGTCCTAAACATCGACAGGAAAATTCAAACAACCAGTACAAAAATAGATTATTTATAGAAATAATTTATCCTTAATTTGCAATAAGTAATCAATATATTTATGAAAGAATTCTGATGTTGTTAACTGAAATGCAATAACCGGAAATGAACAGTTCTAATTAGATGTAGAAAATGTACAATCTTAACCATATATACGTATATTATTACGCGAAATGTCGTAATGTTTATAATTTGTTGTAAAACACAATAGGTGTATCGTCGAATACAGAATAAAATCTAAAATCATTCATAATGAAATTACAAATGAATATGATGAAGTTCATTAACAGTTTTAAATGTAAATAAACTCTAATTTCAATGTATATGTGGCCAAAACTCACTTTATTAGCATGTCATTTATATTAAACAATGAATGATATGAGAAATAATTAACATGCACAAATAGGTATGTGTAAAGGAATATTTAAAACAAAGAAGATTTAAAATAATTTAACAACACTAATACTGTATGAATGAATAAAGAATATAAAGTATGTATACACAGTGATCACGATAATCTAACAATACGATAATGTATAAAACTTACTCAGTTTCTAATTCATCCACAACACAGTTATAACGATTGTTATTGTGTAAGCATAATTGAGTATACTGACGAACTACGTAGAGGAGTATAATATGACGAGGCATAGCAGATACATAACATATGTGTATATATATAGAGATTGTGCAAATTTATCATAAAATCACCCAGTGAACAACATCCAACAGAGATTATATGTGTAAGTAATTGTACATGCCATTAGCATTTTATTATCATTATCATCAAACGGTAGAAATAATCAAAAACAGTAGTAGATTAAAGTGAGTTTGAACCAATGGACGAACGAACGAACGAACGAGTAGGTGAATCAATAAACCAGGTCAACGAGAATAATTGCAGCCAAAAAAATTATTGTAAATAAATGCATGCATTGTGAAAGAAGAATAAAAATGATAAATAAAACTGGATAAAATAAAATAATATAAGGGTTATAAGAAAAATATGTACATACACATATATAAAAGCATAATTCTAAAATAATGAAAACATTCATTATCAACATTTTGTATTTATTTTTGGATATTACTAATATGGAATTATTGTAAGAGTTTATAAATCAACCTAGTTTATTACATTAAGATTAAGTGAGTCAATCACAAAAAATCATAGTTTATTTGACACATGAAAGAGAAGACGATAATATGTAAGTCAACACTTGTACTGAACTATTTTGTTTAACGCCCAATTTGGAAGAGTATATTTTTATTTAGTTAAGTTATTCCGGTTTCAGTAAACTTACTTTTGAAAAAATATGTGTTTATTAATAATAACTTAAAATTGTTATAAGATATCAACAACATTGGAGTCAATTATGAGGAGACTGTAAACAGCTAGTAGATATAGAAAACAGTCGTAGTTCATTGTAACGCTACCCAGGTATTAATTAACAAAATTTTCGATTCTTTGTAAATGATTAGTATAACTAGAATGAATTTTCATTGAACCAATTCAAGAAGCTTATGTAGACTATAGAAATGATTATTTGTTGAAGAAAGTTTGAAATCAATAACTGCATTGTGTTATTTGATATACAAAGGCATTTTAGTCAATGACTTGGATTTTCTACTCATTTATCCGTACAATAAGCGGATTGATTAGCACTTGCGAAAATCAGCACGGTTTTACAAGTGCTGCTGTAATAAAATTTGATTCTCAGATTAAAAAAGATTTGCTAATGTTAAGGTAGAAAAATTTCGTAAAATTATCACCTAGTAACAAAGTAATAACCTTACTTAAAAGTGATTAGTCAAATGGCATAGAAACATATTTATAAAAACAAGTATCATATAAACCTACGTTTCGTGTAATCAATTGTCATTTCTAATTGTTTTATCTTAGTCTGCTTTCAACTTTGCCTTAATACATTACGTATTTTTCTAATTTAACCTAGGTGTAATGTGTGGGAAATTCAAGCTGATAATAGGAACAGTAAGTTTTCATTAGTTTAATCTTAATATAGAAATGATGAGGAGCTTAAATGGTAGACGAGTGAAATTCTACATTACCATAGTTCGTAAAATAAGCTTACATGTAATATTCAATTTTATACTTACAAAAACAACCGCAAATAATTTTTTGTAGTTTATATACATGTCTTGAAAAGTATAGCGAGATGAGGTGATATCTGAGAACCCAAAATGTCGAAGTGATGAAAATCTCACACATGTCATAAGTTATTTACGGAGATATAATAATGGTGATTCGATACGAAATTTGGGATTTCAACCGTGTCTGCATCTTATTAAGTGGAAGTAGATGGTCTTGCATGCCACCCTTATGAACTCGCAGAAAATTAACGTCAGTATAAATGGAAAGCATGAAAAATCTCTCGGATAAATGGAGGTTAATTAGTCATGTTATGAACGGTGTGATGTTAAACAAGTAGAATTTATTGACAAGAATGTGCACTTTTGAATTGCCGAGTAACAGACTTCATATATTTTTGTAGTCCTTTCTCGTTATATTGAAAGCCAGTGTAATTGAGATGCTGTAATACATGCTATCATCGGTAATAACAATGAATTTCACAGTCATGTAAGCGAGGTAATTCGGAATTGACCTGTTCTCGCCAAATGTAATTGGTTATTGACCAATACAAATATATACATAAAGGGTAAGTGATCAGTTAGGATTCTTGATACCGTAATGGTTGTGCCACTGTACTAATCTGTCACATTTATGTTATAAACTGCCAAGATGGCGTTTAGTTTTTCCTTATAACCAGCCTAAAAGTGAATTATCCTGTTGTAAAATCTAATTATGAATTTACTGGTTGATGCTGTTAGTAGTTCCACGTTTGTTTTAGAAGTTAATGAATCAATATCTACGACAATATCGCAAAAGGAACATCAAACCAACTAAGACTCAGATTCTAAACGGTACTGGGACGACTGCAACAAGTTTCGGGTTTATATAGGTTAGTGTGCTCTGATTCGTGAAGAGGATTGTGATTTATTAAACCAGCATTCACAAAACTGAGCAAAACATTTTAAATCTTGGCTGCGTTTACTATCTCACTATTATTCATACCTGATAACGGGTGACATATTAAAAGATAGCTATATAATTAGCAGAAAGTAAAATTTAGAACACATATAGGCGAACAATATTGTTTTCGATTAGATCCTCATCAGGCTTTACTCGAATATACAGTAATATTTAAATGCATATATGAAATTATTAAACCAATCAAGGTAGTTTGTGAGTCAATGATAACAATGAAAACGATTACATAAGTGAAAAGTACAAATTAGTAGTGTGATAACAGGTGCATTAGTTTTGATAAGAATAATAAAGGCTCAAACCAATGTTACATAATCGGAAATAGGTCAATGATTAGAAAAATATAGACAGTGAGATAACATTTATAAAATGATGTCATAGGAAGTGTTCAGATAATTGGACCGTGAAACGTGTGTTTGAGAGAAAATAAAATAAAATGGTAGGAGGGGGCGAAGAAAAATAATAAACGAAGAGAAAGTTTGAAAAAATAACAAATAAATTCATTTATTAAGGCCAAGGAAGAGATAAGGGTGTTACAAATTTCTTCTGAACAGAAAGACTTCGCTTGTTGGCTCGAATTCCTATAACTTCTGCTATGTATAAGAGACGATAGCCAACACATTAAGGAAAACTGGTGGGAATACGATAAATAACTTTAAATGACTTGTTTCTGTCCACTACATGACCGCTATCGATCAAGTGCGATAGAACCGAGCTGCGTATTGTCTTGACGTTACCTTTTCCTAACCACGAAAGGTGTTCACTAACTCTTTGGTTCACTTGCCTGGTAGTGCACCCAATATAGCTTTCTCCACAGGAGCAGCTGAATTCATAGACGCACGGACCTCTCAAAGAGGTTATCAATAAGCTTAGTTTCTACTGTCGTTACGTTGATGACACTTTCATCATTGCCGATCAGAACATTGGAGAAGAACAACTACTAGAACTATTTAATAACAAACATCCTGCAATTAAATTTACATATGAGGAGGAAATAGATAATAAACTACATTTCCTTGAAGTTTTGTTAAATAGAAAAGAAAATGGTTCTATCAGTAGAGGTGTGTATAGAAAGAGTTCTTCTTCAAGCCAATACACACATTTTTAAGCTTTGTGCCTCTTCAATATAAGAGAAACTTAGTCAAATGTCTGGCAAATAGAGCTATTAAGATATGCTCAGTTGACACAATTGATAAGGAATTAGAGCATATTCATAATATGTTGATTGAATTAGGTTATCCACAGGGTTTCCTGAAGAAACACTTGCGTGTAACAAGCAAGAAAATAGTGACACTAACGGCTCATAAGAAACCTCTATTCTTGAAGCTTCAATTCAGTGGTGATGTAGATAGTGATGTATTACATGATGGACTGACTAGAGCAGTAAAGAGAACGTTTAACGTTACCAACCTCTGTCTATCGTGTTCGACCCGATCTGTTGTGATTCCCCAACTGAGGGATAAGTTACCTGGTTATGCCACTTCTATGTGCATCTAACAATTCAGCTGCTCCTGTGGAGAAAGCTATATTGGGCGCACTACCAGGTAACTGAACCAAAGAGTTAGTGAACACCTCCCTTCGTGGTTAGAAAATCTTTACTCGAAGACAACCGAATTCTTTTGATAACCGTCAGTAAGAAAATAAGTCAACATCAGATCATTGAAATAATTTGCTTTCCTGTAAGTTACGTGAATGGATTTTTAATAAGTGGACTAAAATATTTTACTGTTTAAGTAATCAGAGAATGACACTTAGTACGATTAAGTTACTCACAAGAAATGCTACAAATTAATAGTAAAGACCAACGAAATAGTAAAAACCTTACATTTTTAAAAAAATTCTCCTATTTTATTTAAAAACTGACAAAACTTTTTAAATATTTCAGCGATAAACAATTTAAAGAACCAGAAGTCTTAAGAAACGGAATATATTTGAAACTGCATGATGCGTTGCAGTGAGTAACAAGTTGACTGAAATACTAAAGATAGCTAGTAGTAGGGTTGACTTTATACGTTAAGCCCAAAACTTGATGTATGTTTTTGAAAAACAATATATTGATGGATTTGTTGCTATCATCAAACATATGAAAATTATTAAATGTACTTCAACATGAATGAAATATACTCACGATTCCATTTGAAGTAATAAGCTATTTACAAACAAACTTGCTTCTGGACACAATACGTTTGTATAATACTAAAAGTTTATGAATATTGTTACTTGTTGACATAAACATTACATAAATGGAAGTTTATTTCTAGAATAATATTACAGTTTAGCCTATTGAACATGTTTCAACATATCTAAATGTATAGGAGCTAAAATTTAATGGATCTTTCCTCTTAAAATAAGTAAACTAATGTACCCTATAGAAAAATTAATAAACATACACAAATGACGTATTTATTTCAGAATAAATATATATATATATATATATATATATATATATATATATATATATATATCGAAATAGTATATGGATTTGACAAAACATTAGAAAACTGGTTAGTTTTTCGGAGAGCTAAGTGTAAATAAACCAGTTGGTTAAAAATCCTCATAAATTTTCTCATCAAATAAATAATTAATTTAGTAAAACAAATTTATTTTCGACGATTTCATTGACAAAGATGTATAGAAACAATTATATATTATTTGTAGGCACGAGATCATAGAAGAATTTTCGCCCCTAAAACAACTACTAATGGGGAACGTATACTAGCCAAAATATTTTGAAGAAAACGGGAAACTCAAAATTTGCAGGGATTCAGTAAAAAAATATATAATAGAAATTGACCTAGAATGTGACAAAGAGAACCTGGCTTAAAGGAAAAGTTTCTGGTTCTCAACACCTTTAAGTTTGATATGCTTTAGTCTACTCATATTTACCAGTAGAATAGAGGAAGAGACCTCAGACTCAGCCACTCCAGTATTTGTTCTTGTGAAGCTAGGCATAAATTGCTTGGTTAAAAAGATATAGTAGTAGATTCACAGTAAGTCAGTAATAGATAACTCGTGAACATACAGGTCAATCGATCAAAAAGTGCTAATCATTTAAACTCCTATACCAGATGAAAAATTACCTGCCGAAAGTCGTTAACTTTTACATCCTTCAAGATTTTATTTACATTCAGAGGTCAAAACTATGTAACCTAAATAAAATTACTCAACCTCTTCTCCTACCACAAACACAATCACTAGCTTTACTAAATTATCACCTATTCCTTCTCTGTTCAATTAACATACTCTTAACAGGTTTATTGATGCTTTTAAACCCTTTATGACCAAAATTTTATCTTATTTTCTTTTGTAGTTTATTTTTATAATAAAAATAGTTGCCTAGTTTTTATGGCACTCTTTAAAATTAATTTTTAAAGATTAACCAAGTATATTTCCAGTTTGCTGTTAGAAACAATATCTCTGTAATTCTGATTATTTCATTTTCTGTTGTCATATTCTGAAAATTATTGCCACTATCGCTAGATATAAAATATCATTGTAAAATAGTATTCTCTTGTATGACTATATAACTTTATTGCATGTTTTCCACTCAAACAAATTATCAATTGAATAATTATCATATAACCAATATGAATGAACCTATATAGAATGGACGTAAACTTCATCTTAGAAAAATATAAAACTTTACTGAAGTTTACACATTCCATGTTGAAGAGTGAATACTTGGTAATATAAACAAAACAGTTCAAATCTATAAATGATTGTTTATGTACAGTGATACCTTTCCATGAAATTTATCGTTTAGAATAGTACTTTATGGAACCTATTTATGTCATCTCAATTCAGGTTAATAAGTTGTTTTTTTTAGTTAACTATTCAAATGCAGTAATAAATGATTTTCAAACGATTTAAATAAAAGGGAAATTTTTTAAGTATAATTGAATATTCAACCGTGTATACAACTATTGAAATCATTTAAACAATTGGGAGATGAACAATTCTCTTGGGAATCTATCTCATAAATAACTGAAGAGAAACAACAATAACAACACAGATATAACACACAACAATAATAATTTTAAAAGAAAACATACCCAAAATCGATATAGTAACAAGAACAAGATGAAAACTATTCCAACATCACATCCACAAAAGGTAAGGATATATGATCATTCAATAAACTCCATGAATAAAGAGTTATATATATGTATGCATAATTATTTAAGTTATATGCATTAAAGATAACACTAAACTAATTCTTACTCATATTCAGCTTCATCAACTGTACATTTGTATACGGCACGACTAAACAATGTAATGTCTGTAATTTGAATAACTTTAAGGGGGAAAATGTGATCAAAAACAATTACGACAGGAAAAAAATAGAAATGCATACAGAAAGATGAAAATTTATGATACATCAATTAAAAATGACATTTAATTATCTTCTACTGTTTAATTAATGAGAAGGAAAAATAACAAAGGAATATACACTTAATTGCAACCATGAACAACAAGTATACACAGAAGAAATCTGATTATAAAGAGATTTTACGTACTGCAGTGAATAATGAAATGCTCATAACAATAAAATTGAAATCAGATAGAATAAGAAAACGGAAGTGTACACAAACAAACGTATATGCAATATATTTGTAAGAATGAAATTTGGAAAAAAAGTAAGGTAATAGTAGTAATAATAATTAATATAAGCTACCATTCAATCACAGTCATTCAAAGACAATTCTTAAATTATATGAAATCGTTTCCTGTATGCAAAAGATGTAATCACTGAAATAAAAATAGTTCTTGGAATAACCATAGACATAAATTCAGTATAAATAATAAATAATATCCAAATATTCAAGTAAGAACATCAAAAAGATCCAATCAACAGAGTTTGTTTAAGGCTGACAGATATTCGTCTGTCGTGCTTGGATTGAATGAAAAATATTTTTATCTGAAAATAATCTCGTATACATTTTTCCAATTATAAACTTAACAAGCAAAAGAATAACGTTTTTTGTAAATCATACGTTCATGAAGGCATATTTAATGAAACAAGTTCATTGGTAGAAACGCCTAAATATCTAAGAAATTTTGAATATGTTGAGGAAGAATTAAAACTCTTGAAAGGAAAATTGTCGAACTTTACATTGACTCGTGATGTCAAGTAAATCAGTTTAAAATCTTTCAATGTGATGAATAAACGATCTAATCGTAATCTTCCCTACTTTGATTTGATTGTAGTAATCAAAAACTTATCAACTAATTTAAACCTTTATCTAACCAGTTTAGTTTAATAAACTAACTAACATTTCTATTCTTATTTCAGAGTTTTACTACAATAGTTAAACTGACAATACCAGTCAAGACTATGGAAATTAAAACTTAGTAAACAATGAAATTATTTGAATATTTACAACTTTAAACAGAAAAGACAAGAAAATGAAATATATTACTCATTATAATTTCATTATTATTTTTATTGGATAATATTTGATTGATTGCAAAAATTTTAATAACATATTAAAGTACTAATTTTGGAGAAAATTACTTAATCATATTGACAGTTGACCAAAACAACTATTTCACTCAACTAAAACATACAATCAAACATTCACCATGCATGAATATTTATAACAATTAGTATCCAAATTATTCAAAATGATCCTGAACTATTGAATAAATAAATAAATCGATAAAAGAAATACTTATTTTTGTACTCTGTACGGACACTGAAAGTTTTTGTTGTAGTTACAATCATATGGAAATATAAATCAAGATTTCTTGTAGAGAAACAAAAAAAACAAAAACAAGATAAATCGGAAGTTGTTGTTTATCATGGTAAAAAGGAAAAAAATACAATCGGCGTTTTTTGATGGAATCCAAAAAGAACATGGTAAATTTGGCAAATTTTGGTATTTTTGATTAATTAGAGAAAACTAGTTTTAATGACTAGAATTACTTATTATGACTATAATAATAGTAATTATTATTACTATATTTTTTTATTGACATCATGACTAATCTGGACATTGTCGACAAATAAACGAATTTTTTCAATTCTCACAAATTATTCACAGACATTTCTTCGGATAGTTGTTTACAACAATTTTTGTGGCTATACATTTAATGATTTTATCAGAAAATCGTGTACGTCAGAAATACTGTTTGTACTATATATATATACATTATATTACATCTGTGACAGTCCAAATACATCCTTAATAACTCAGACTATTAATTAAAAACAAACTGGGTATACATAAAATAACGTCGAAATTCAAGGAAAATTTCTTTGTTAGTTCAATTCTCAAATAACGATTTCAATATAGCTCAAGTTAAGAAAATACAATAGATCATGTTGGACAATAAAAAAAATGTCTGCAAATAATAGTTATAATAATTTGTAAGTACGAACCTGTGTAAATGTTTGCCTATGCGTGAGTGTGTAGAGAGAGAGAGAGAGCGATACTTACCTGACAATTTGATCTTTTTCACTGTCTTATTTGAATTATTGTCTACCAAAACATTGATATCTATTGATTCCCCATGATAATATTTCTATTTAGTGTTGTTGATGATGGTATTATCATTGGTTGGAACAAGAAAATGAATCAAGAGGGAAATGAAGGAAAAAAGCAAATAGATGAGAAAACAGATCAATGGATGTACATTTATAATCAATGTAAAATCAGTGTTGTTAGTGTATATTACCGACAATTATTTAACAAGAATATTGGATATGAGATAATTATTCATAGCAGGTAATGCAAGATGGTCAAGCAACATTGCTAACTGATTGGATTCGGACATCTACACAATCGGTCCCCGAATCAGCTGTCTAAAACTTAAACGTTCGCGCATGACACCAAACGTTCTGTGTTACATCTCCGGTAAGGACGTAGATGTTTCCCGCTTAGGATTTTAGTAATAAGACAAAATAGTTTACTGATGCTTTCTGATTTCCAGTATCTGTTTAATTATGATCTATTCATTATGCTTATAATGCTTTACTAGTGAATCTCAGTACGTGATTAAATCTGCTTTTTAAGTCATAAAACGATTTTCGCGGAATTTACTCTATATAAATATAGCTACAATGTTGAATAACTTAATTGCTTTTTTATACGGTTTGAAACGAAAAATAAAGTGATTCATTTATAATTCATTGGAGAACAATATAAGCAGTTTTGATAATAAACTACAAAATATATGTATTTAAACCTTTTACAAAAGAATTAAAAGCATCAATTGCACTTCAGAATTACCTAAGGAAGCATTCTTTACATATAATAAGATATTCGACTCGAAAATAGAAAACATAATGCATCAGCGTCGTATGATCATCAACTATCATGTGATGCTATCTTCTGATATCACTTCATTATATTTTGGATTACGTATTTAGGTTTTATACTTGAGTATAATCCCCGAAGAAAACCACTTTTGATATTTTTACATGGTATCAATAAATGATAAGCTTACATGATGAAACAATGACACGTTCATAGAAACGAAATTACGTTTCTTAATATAGCAATAAAGGCAAATATATATAATACAAACCAATGAGTGTGGCTGTGTAATATAGAAATGATTCTTTATCAAACATTTAACATCTTATGTCTGACTGTTACTATTTGTAAACTAATGGATCTATTTAATTACAGTTTAGTTTGATGATCAGAAATTGTAATAACTTATTGAGTAAAAAAGATCATTAAAAAATAATTTTGTTCGGTTATTCAAAAGTAACAGGATGAAAGTATTCGGTAATCAGTATTCCGAGAAAGTCCCATGGGATTTCATTTACAAATCTGATATCTAAAATTCAAACAAATACAATCCATACACAAGAAAAAAGAAAAGGTTTATCGTTGACTTAATCAGTAAGATACTCATTAAAAAGAGGAAAACGGTTGGAGTTTTGGGCAGACTGTTATGGTGTGGCATTCTTTGAAATGGATAGATTGTGAAGCAGTCATTGTCGCGACTTAACCAAGTGGCTCTTAAAACTCAACAATACCAAAAATGTGCTTAAAAGTGACTGGCTTCATGAGGTATTTCCTGGAGTTCCAGTGAGAAGCCGTGACCAGTGGAGGTCAACCGTCCAATGTAAACAGTTACTAGCTGAAGACGATGGTGGATGGTCGTGCAATTTCGTGGATTGGTTAAAGTTGGACATTAACACCGTTGGATACCAGCTCAATGGTCTATAGTTTAAGCGCTCGCGCGCGAGAACGATGGGTCCTGAGTTCAAATCTCACGAGCAGGATCGTGGATGAGCTCTGCTGAGGAGTCCCATATCAAGACGAAATAGCTGTCTAGCGCTTCCAGGTTTTCTATGGTGGTCTAGCTTTAATAGACTCATTACTTCGACTGTTAAAAACTACTAAAAGTGTTATCAGTAGGAAAATTATGTGTCAACTCGCAGACTTTATATTACCATTCCCTTCTCTATTCATTTTATAAATCAATCTTATCTTTAAATAATATTTATTTGGGTTATTTTTCTATAGGTTCTTAGAGATTTTAAAATCTGGAATGAAAATATTTAAAGCAAATTGATTAATCCAAATAAACAGAAAAAGTTTAAAATCAGTAAAACAACTACCTACTTCTTTATTTAGAGAGACCTCCAAACGAAGTGTACCTGGACTCATAATGAATTCTTTAAGGACAACTGCAGATGGTTGTGGGGCTGGTTCTTCTGGTGCATAAGTCAGTTTACGAATAGCAAGTCGAACAGCATTACTTTTGATTTCGAAAAATATAAATTAGAGAATGATAATAGTTTAACGCTAAAGTTAACTTTAAGAGAAAATCATTCACGCACCAAAAACAAGTATTCATCATAATTGTTGTTATTGTGAATTTATGCTACACCGTATTGATGACATTTTGCATTATAAAGCAGTTTAGCGTAGGTATGGATTACAGAAATTGGTTAACTAACAAAAAAGTCACTCCAAATATCACCGTATACATTAAACTTCTCTTATATAATGGAATAGAATAAATTATAATACCTGTCTCCTGTTTATCACTTCTGTTTTGATAGATACACACTCAAACACACAGTCAGCCATTATCAAAGTTGAGTGGCTTCAAGTTTCCATACCACAATAGCACAATGAAGTGAAATTAGGCGAATGAATAGCAAAAGTGATCAAAACAACGTAATAGCAATCACGGTTAAAAAAGAAAAAGGTTCAAAAATCCATTGGGAAAGTATACATGAAGGAGTATCGGAACACAAAATCGACAGTAAAATAAAATTGAGTATATCTGAGTCACTGTAAACGATTCTGATTCATTTCACAAAACGTCTCCAGATACTGATCATGGTTATCACACTGACCTCGCCCAAATAGTCTGCATCTGCCAATATGCCTCGAACCAACACTCAATGACTTCATAGACTGTCACGTTTTTGGCATTATTGCAACTACCTTTCTTCCAACCTATTTTTGTATTGCTAAGCATTCCTCATCGGAGTAGGCGGTGGTTAGACATACATAGAATCTCTCCTAGTCACCTTAGTCGATAAAGGTTCACTACGTCATCGACTGGTTTGCCAGTATCCTATGCCTAACTTCAACATTGCTTGCACCCAAACAAACACAAAAAATGTTACTTGTACTATCGATTTGTATCTACCACTTTACTCGATCTTGTAAGACATGTTATATTAACAGTATAGAGTTTTCATTTGCCAGATGTCTATTTGGGCACTACCTTGCATTACTACGTAGACAGTAAACTTGTGCACTGCTGAGTCTATAGTAATTCATTAACTCAAGCATGATCTCAGTGAGAAAACATCACATATTCAGTCTTCTATTTTATTATCCTTGGACTCCTTCCACTACTAAAAATTTTCAGTATTAGTTATTCTCTTATTCTTTGTCTTCGACATACAAGTATACAGCTCAAGTAAAGAATGTCGTTGAAGACAAATGTTTCTTTTATTGAACCATCTTCATTTTATTTCTTATGTATTTTTCCATTTATTTATTATTTCTTTTATGTTAATTACAATTTAATAAAAGCATGAACTCAATTTCAAACACTCAAAAAAAGTTAGGTAATCAAGTATAGGTTGATCAAAACTTCTTTTTTTCATTGGGGTTCTATTAACATCAATAAGGAAGCAGAAAATGTTAGTTAATCTTACTATAATTTACGTTACACCACGTTAAAATTTTCAGATATTTTTACAATATAACATCACCATAAATATATAAACCAAAACACTCAGAGAAATTTTAGTTTGATTAATACCAATATTATTAATTGTTAAGAATTGCAGTTATTACTGTTATCATTATTAGTATTATTATTGTTAATATTAGTATTCACCGTTTATTACACTGTAATTGATTGTCCGGGCGGTAGCTTATAGCTCCGCATAAAAACATTCGGCTGCAAAAATTGGAGTAAATGAGCTGTAATAGTTTAATATGAAAAAACAAAAACATTCAATCATATTATAGAAATGATCAATTATCACCAAAATAATTGGCAAATTGAATTTTGTTTTTAGAAAAACAATGCACACACGTATAAGTACATACACTCAGTGAATGATAGAAACGATGATCTTGATAAAAATAAAATAATAAAAATCGATCTGTTTTCAAACATTAATCACGAGCTCATGAGTAAAAACATTAGTAGTTTAGTTACTTTACCAAGTGCTTTTTTAAACAAGTTGTTCAGAGCAATCATTTTCATCTTTAATTACTGAGTTACAGATTCAGAATTCGTTTCACATACTTCAATTTGAGCACTCAGGTAGTATTGCCAACTTTTAGATGAACAGACTGGCTCATAATTAGGTATGAGAAATCCACGGTTTTATTCTGTGTTCGCCTATTGAAGAAGGGCATGTCTAAAAAGCTTAGTACATAAATGCCTCAGGAGAAGTAAGAGTATGCAACCAACTCCCTCCATTGTTACATTTCAGAAACTAGGTTAAATAGGCTTGCCCAGTCTCACCCTTTCTCTTTAACTCTGACATTGATGACATTCTGAGAAAAAAGCTTTAGAAGAAGTGATTTATATCCGTTATAATGTGTATGTAGATTACATTGTTTTGCTGTTCGATGAAACATAAACGATACAAATCTTACTTATTCAGTTGACGACCAATATTCGTAGACAGTAAGTAGTTAGAATAAGTTGAGATGTGCGTGCGTCTGCGAAGCCCTGTAAGTATTTGTTGAAGCGTAATTGAAGAGACAAATCCACGCATAGTGAAAGTCAAAGCGGTTTATGCTAGTCTGGACCATCTTTGTCGAATTCATGATTTTAATTTGACCTTAAAAGATCAGGCTTACAACTAGGCAGTAAAATCAGTTTTGCTGTATCCATTTGAAACCTGACCCTTCTGAGTCGGTGAGGCTCGGTGACTATCTGTGTCTGATCGTCGTTGTCTCTGAAGGGTTGCTGGTACTCGGTATAAACAACATGAATCTTTGTATAGTGATAATAATTCCGGCTGATGTCACCGTCTTGAAAAACTTGCTTGTTTGGCTTGGATCTGTCGTCCTAGTGACCTCCACATTATAACATTTATCGACGCTGAGACTGGTTGAAAAAAGCCTAAAGTAGGTCAGTTTATGACATGTTTGTTGGTTATGAAAAAGATCTGTACAGGATTGGGATCTGTTGGTTCATCATCACTGTTCAGTTGATATCCTAGAGACATAATCAAATATGGCTTAATATAAAAGTCAGTAGAAGCTCTACTATAGTTCTGTTTCACATTCTTTGTAAAAAATATGAGAACCTCATTTAATTTTAAAAAAGTGTTCTCTGATCTACTTTTTTATTGAAGTACATCTTTTACTACATGCTACTCTCGTTTACTTCTTTTTGTTCCCTGGATTATTTTTCATTAGACTTCTCCACTTTTCTTTATTTCTTGGCAAAATGTGGCATTTTTTAAGCTTTAGACTTTCTTGGTTTTAAATAAAAATGGTCAATAGAAATTTAGCATGGTTTTTGTAAAAAAAAAAGAAAGCGTGTATTATGAATAACTAGAAGATGAACTTTTAACTGATATTCACATAGTTATTCAGAATTTTATCTACAATTATATCTGAATAAGGAGTTGATGTTTTATGCAAACAACTCATTTGTAATTATTTGAATAGTTAATATTGAATAATACAACACAATTTATGGTTTTAACGTACCATTCCATTTATCGTATTACTTTAAATTTATAAAAGAAAGTGTTATTCAAATTAAAGTTTTTCTATTAATTGATCTAAACACTACAACTACATATACATTATTGTTCATCAGTATTTCTCAATGAACTCCATTGTACTGAGAATAATAATATACTTATTAATGACTAGCGTCAAGATGCGATTCCTGGAGTTCTAGTAAGGATCCGTAACCAGTGATGTTCAATTATATCAATTGTGAGACAGTTATCTACAGCAGACAATCCACGGTAGTCACGCAATATTTCGAATTGGTTGATTTTGGACATGTAAACCATCAGATGCTGGATCAGTTGCCTGAAGCTTAAGTGTTAACCTACGAGAATAAAGGTTCTTGGTTAGATCTGCAGCAGGGTTATGGATTTGCTCTTCTTGGAAGTCCTGTAGTAGGATAGACCATTTATCCAGTGTTTTCTGGTTCTCAGTGGTCATCTAACTAAGCCCTAAATATTAGTATTTTCTATTATTGGATTTCGATATTTAAGACTATTCGTACGTAACAGTTATATGACTTTTAGTATTTTGAAATAATCTCCTGACATATGCACAGCCGGTTATGTGTATCTGTGCACGTTTTTATATTTTACATCAATACGAAACTATATGATAAACAAGAAACAAGGACCCTCGCATCTGTAAACACAGCTCGGACTAATAGTCATCGACTTCATATACTGATGGCATTTATTGGTCTGGTAGCCTATAGCCCTTCTCCAACTTAGTTCAATGATAGTACAGCTAAGTGATCGGTAGTAGTCAGATATGTGAAAAATTATTAGTGTTTCGTCTCACAGTATGCTGAACAACAAAGTTCACTTCTATTAAATGTTCTGTAAGATGGATTTCATGGTGGATACGTTTTTTCTTGTTGTTAAGATAAAATAATAAAAACACTTCAAGAAGTAAATACACATCACAAAATACTTAAACATTCCCTCATTTATTGTAAGGAATTGTAAATTACATAAGCATTTTTCAAATAACATATCATCATCTTGATAAAACATAATTTTGATATTGTGTCGAGCATTGAACAGTTACACACCTACGAATTGACATTCAAGTAGACACTATAAAATATTCATAAAATTAGTGATGAATCACACCACTTCTATGATTTCACTAGTATTTTTAAAATCATTAAAACTAAAAAACATAGTTTAAGCAAAATTAAATATGATATTTTCAACTTCCAATAAACAAGATCTTTAAAACTAGAGTGCTAGTCGAAACAGGCATTGGTATTAAATGAACATTGTATAGGATGAGTAATTATTATGAGACATACAATCCACAATAAAAGACATTTATTACATGGTATAATATATTCAACGGAATATAAAAAAAGAATAATATTAATTTCACTAGTTCGAAGGTCCCTTTTCATGCTACAGACGTCTATGCGAAAGGAAAAATTTTTTTAAATATGTGATGTACAAATGCAACATGCGCGCATTTCCATGCTTATGGCCACCATAAATAGATAATGGAGAAACTGAATTAGAATTGAGGGATATCGATACGTTAAAGAAGGTCAAATTAATACAAAGGGTTGTTTGAATTACCGATGTAATATTATATTATCTTTACTAATTCTACTTACCATCAATCGAACACTCTTAAAAGACTAGCGTTCAGCTAAACTTAAGGAGTCCTAATGAGAAAGGACTAGTGAAGGGCAACCACTTCATCCACTGTCGTTGACTGTCACTTAACAATGTAAATTGTTTCAAAGTAAAAATCTGTACCTTCAAACTTCAACTTGTCAGTCTAAAGATAATGAACTCGCAGCAAATTTTGAAGGTCTTCAGACCGATTTTTGATAAAGATGTGCGTATTATCTGCTTAGGAGCCTTACACTATAGTTAAACAACTATCTGATGCTCCCTATTTTCCAAGTGTTTTCCACTTGCTATCAATTTATGATGAAACTCAATTTGTGATCTGCTTTATTTGAATTACTTATGTTTTCTGTTCGGTATATTCGCACGTTACTTTAATATACTTACAGAATTCACCGAAAATGTGTTCAGAATACATTTTTACAGTTGATTAGATTGTTTTTACAATAAAAGTACGAAAAATATACAATCACCTACTCACCTCAAACAGGTTATGTGCACTGAACATCTATTATCCTTGCCTAGCAAGGTATTAAATTTATGCGTATGCAATCATTTATATCATATAAATGAAATCAAGGTGACTAAGCCATACTATGTATTTTGGAACATAATACATAAGTAAGATCGTAATAATCAGTAGAATCATTTAAATGTACAGTTAGTTGAGTAGTTATCAGAGACATTTTGATGATGAAATGGCACTGTTACCAGTTGATCAGAGCAGAAAATCCATTGTATTTCAAACACGCTAAGTCAGTAGCATTATCTTATCTATGATACATGAGAGTGAGTCCTAAGCCGAGAAGCAATAGATCTTTAGCGCTCGCGAATCTGTATGCTTCTTTCTGTAAGGACTGTTTTTTACAGTAACTTTTTGGTTACAAAGTAATTGAAACAACAATTAACTTTACAGTTGATTACTAAGTAGTGACTGATATCATGTTTATGTAGTCTTTAAAACGCGTTTAAAATTGTGAAGCTTGATGAAACTGTATCGAACTCGTAAGCGAAAACTAATTCTGTCAATATTACAGGTATACCATTATAACGAGTGTCAAAGAACATGAGACTTGAATAAATAGTCTCCAGTCGACTACATCTGACCAAATAATGATTAATTTTGCTAAACAACATAGTCATCTTTCTCTAGTTTCAGCTCTTATTAATGTATCAGAAGAATTAACCTTACATTAACTTATTTAATAACAAATCAGAAAAAGTCTGTATACAAATACTAAACAGCATTATATATGATATACTTCATACACATTAAACTAGACATTGACTATTCATTTGTATTATGAAAAAAGAACTAATAAACCTTAATTCAAATAAAAGAATTTACCACCATCATATAAATAAAAACTAGGCAACAAATATTATCAAAATCTTTTTTTCAGAAAAATTCCTTAATGTATAAAACCATGTTAGTTTTTTTAATATTTTCCGCCTATTTATTTATTTATTCATTCAAATAAACCTCTCATTTTTCAAAAGTATTTTGTTAATGATTATCATATATAATATTTTGAGGGAAATGCAAACAATTTAGTCGGAAGACATCTAATTTGTTTAGAAGTAGATCATTTCAAAAAAGAAACAATTATTCATATTCAAATGAGAATAATACTAAAATTACTAAAAAATTATAAACTAATCATTTTAAAGATTCATTTTGTATGTTTAGATGAATAGTTTCAATAAGTAACTATTGTTCTTTGTTAAACAGATTTCTCACAAGACAAGAGAAAATTAAAATATACCCTGATACAACAAAAAAAATATGGGTTGGAAAACTCATTTTTAACCATAAAATAGAACTTATACAATATTGATTTATTATTCTTATTAATGGCTTTATTTAACATTATATTTCTACTACAATATAGACAGGCCAAAATATTTCAACAAAATTTTTTTCACTGGTTGAAATCATGAGTCAATTGAAGCTAGACCATCATGGAAAACCTGGAAGCACTGGACGGCCGTTTCGTCCTGGTATGGGACTCCTCAGCAGTGCGCAGCCCCGATCCCGCCCCCCACGGGATTCGGACCCAGGACCCAATGGTTTCGCGCGCAGGCACTTAACCATTAGACCTCTGAGCCGGCATCCTGGGTTCGAATCCCGTGGGGTGCTTGATCGCGGATGCGCGCTGCTGAGGAGTCCCATACCAGGACAAAACGGCCGTCCAGTGCTTCCAGGTTTTCCATGGTGGTCTAGCTTCAGTTGACTCATGATTTCAACCATTGAAATTTCTAAACAATCTCCACAAAACCCATTCTGATAAAATTTATTTTTCTTATTGCTTGATCGATTCTGACGATAAATATTGAGTGGCCGCCAGTTAAATGTTAACAGTTTAAGAATTGACATCTGAATAATTTTCATTTATTTCAATGCATATGGTCAGCTACCACGATGTCTTTGGTTGCACTTTTTTGCTAATTTTACTATGAAATGTTTCAAACCTTTCATAAATGCGCTTGAATAGTTTATGCGATCAGTAGATATTACGATTTGTTAAAACTAGCAAAAAAACAGTTAACTTGTTGTTCTAGATGGCAAGAACAGGTGGCCCAGATATTCAAGCTAGTGGCTAACTGCCAGTCATAACTCAACATACAATATACTTGATCAGGTTTTATAATTTTAACAAACTTTTTCAAGTTTATTTTGTCTTAACTTTTCAATCAATAAAATTGTTAATTCTTTATTTCCAAAAATAATACATAACTTACCGTTTTTGTAATTTATCATCCGATGTCTCAGCCACATAAGTTCTTAGTTCATAGTCTACACCACATGGCTAGAAAAATAAATTATTGTTTTGAAGTATACAATGAAAAATCACAGTTTTGAATAATTTACAAATGTTTAAATGAAAATAATTAAAAAACTTTGGATTGCATGTCTCAGGATCGGTCACAGTGGCGCAGATATTTCGACTCTTTAATTTCCTCTTCATTTTGTATTCCAGTAATCCTTTCTATTTAAGTTTTTGAACCCTGTCTTTTCCGACCACATTTCAAATGATCAGTTTTTCTTTTTGTTAGCGCCACTCAAGTGCTTTGATCTCATTTGCTATCCACCTTGTTAGTTTCATCTTACTGTGCTAATATCATATGGTAGCATCCGTCAAAGCACATCCAAGGTTCTATACTGAAAACAACTAGCTGACACGAATATTATAATCTCATTTCAATCGAAAGTTAAGACAGAATGGAGATTTAAATGGTTTTTGGTTTGAATATCTATCTGTTCACTAAATAACATTTAGGTACTTTGAGCAATTGGCATTGAATTTTTGCATTTAGAAAGCGTTTAAAGTACAAGTGAAATCATTTTAATATTTTCAGAAATCTTCCATGTACGAGGATATTTTGAAATTATCTGTGAACTAATACTGAATTTATATTATATGGTAGACAGAACATTTCACTTACAATTAAAAATCATGAACCGATTGATAATAAACCTCCTTTTGAAACTTGGAAGCACTGGACGGCCGTTTTGTCTTAGTGTGGGACTACTCAGCAGTGCACATCCCCGATCCCGCTCGCGGGACTCGAACCCAGGGCCTTCGGCCACGCGCGCAAACGCTTAACCTACTAGACCACTTAGCCGGCATCCAATGGTGATAGCGTCTAACGCCAACCAATCCACGAAATTGCGCGACCAACTTCCATTGTACTGAGGTAGATACCTGTCTCTACCAGACATGGACTAGCTCCACTGGTCACGGCTTCTCACTAGAATTCCGAGAATTCCCTCATGGAGCTAGTTACTAGTGAGCACATGTTGATTACTAGTATAGGGCTTGTGGAGATTATTAAGTTTTTGATTGAGATCATTTATGTCACAGGAAAATATTGTTGGAATATTAAATGAAAATTAGATAATTAACACTTCTATTCTGTTCGAAAGATTTACATTAACACTTGTCGATGGTTTGTGTCAACATTAGATTCATACTATTAATAATTCATATCGACGATGCTAGTTTTTGAATATCAGTATATGGATATACTGGCAGATCTTTTTAAATTGTATGGACTGATGACATGATAAAGCCCGTTTCATGATGTCATGATTCGTTGCATAAAACTTGTCTGACACAATTACGTTAAATATTCATATAAATATTCACGAGACACTTGATAATTTAATCATCGGAGACACTAGTTTTTGTGATTGTGTTGTGTCAAGAAAACACTAACAGTAGGGCCTCGCAAAATGGCTATAAGCTATGTTCGGACTTTTTCATGTACTTAGGGTGGTAGTTAACTGGTATAAACACCTTTCATATGCATTAGATATTGCAATTCGATGACTGTTGTAACTGGTCAGGATAAAACTATAATAACTTTAGAATTAATCTTATAATCAGAAACATCATATCCTCGATAGTGCCTGAAACATTTATAAAACTACAGTTAATATCACTTAGGCATATGAAACAGGCCAGATTTGTAGGTCATTTTGCTAAGACTCGGTTATGGTGATAAGTGTAGTTTAGACAAAAGAAATAGATTTCAGTTCAAGAAAACAATTTTCATAGTGAAACCGTCTGATCAGAATATATTGCTTTATATCCCTAAACAATTTATGCTAAACAACATGAAATTATTTGTGCTTTCAACGACTTTATTATAAAAAGGAGATTAATGTTTGTACAACAACCAACAAGGAAAATTCAATGGGATATCCATCTATCAAAGCAACTAAACACAATGCGCTGGATAAAATGATAAAGCCATTAGTAACAAATTCACTGCCAACAATTCGTACTATAGCGTCTATAAAGTCATCGAATTCGGAAATTAATTTAATGACACTGTAAAACACGAACTTTCTTGCTCCAAGGTAGATACCACTGAGACGGTTTGTTATCATAGTGCAAGTGAATTTTCTATTCCTGTAGTTATCTAATACTCCCTATCTATAAATGGATTAAAGTTAGGTGGATATGTAGAAACCTCAAGCAAACGTTGTAATAGAAGGCAAATTATTTGTCTTGCTTACTTTGCCGTTCTCATTTGGACCTGGCTGAAGTGTAACTGAAGCAGGTGCGTCTGCAGGAAGCTTTAATAAATAAATGTATGTAAAACGAAACAACACGAGTTGATAAATATCCTGAAGGACAAATGATATGAAATAACTGACTATAACATAAGATAAAAGTTTATTTTTCAATATCTGAACACAAGTTTAGAAATCGGAACGAAGAAACTTCAGGAGGTTTATTGTTTATTTCAAGGAATAGATCCTGTCTTCTCATATTCAAAGCCGCTTTGTATACAAACGTCCATAATCATCAGAAATCTTTTCGATTATTCCTCAATTTACTCGTGTAAAAATACTAAGTCATAAAACAGTGAATAAAATGTGTTTTGTTTGACACTATAATACATCTTTTTTTATTTCGAAAAGTATAGCAGTCTAAGTTAAATATCTCTTCTAGAAACACGATTACTGAAAGTTTGAATTTCTGGTTAGTTAAACATTACCAAGCACTTCAAAACGTTGTCCAATATCAGTAAACTGTTTTCACAAACATGAAGTATATATCGCGCCTTAAACTTTTTAAATCATTTTTGAATACCCACTAAGTATTTTGTCAAAACAAATGTTGTACAAAAAGATATATATCCAACATCTTTGTGAATTTAACGGCAAGTTTTACTCATGATGCGAAAGAATAGTTGGTGGCTTTGTATTAAAAAGCAGTTATTCAACCAATACAATTCTTATATTTCTCCACACTAAATATGTTTGACGTGAACCAGTAGATGGGTGACGGGATAATAACCGAAAGCTAAGTTTGTCTATAAAATCACTGCATAAATAGACGGAAATTGAATTTAGGCAGATTTCAGAACTGGCTGAAAAAAATCAAGTGTTTCTTTGCCATTGTAATTAGCCCATAACACTCAACGTCTGTGGTTTATAGAAGGGACGGTACTAAACCACTACACAAATATCCTCATTAAACACAGTTTTGAATTCATTCCACGCAAACAGCTGGCATGTTAATCTACTTTATGCCAATTGTCATTTCAAGGTGATGCACAATATCTTATGTAATTTCAGCAAAGGTGTTCATGAGTTTGACTTGAAGTTTGTGAAGGTAAACCTTTCGTCAGAATTGTTTTGGGAACATAAAGTGTGCAATTATCATCTTATCAAGACCCGCTTTCCAAGCTGTGTGTTGCAAAAATACATTTATATACTCCAGCAATCTGTACTAGGTCAACCAAACGCTTTTTAGTTAGCTGCACTTTTTCAAACAATCAAGACGCTTCTTTCGGTGAGTCTTCCTATTTCTATTTAGTTTGTTGTTTTTATTACTGAGCAACCACACGACCACGATGGGCAAAACTTTCCGATAGTTGAGTTATTTTGACATTCTTGTTGCAAAAAATTGGCAAGTTACCTTTGGTGCCTAGGGACTATTTCTGGTACAAAATATAAATAACTCGAAGTTAAAAGCTTACCTTGAAGTAAAATGGAAAGGCATTACTTCCTAACTTTTTAATCAGACGTTCTTGTAATCTTGTCAGTGGAAGAGTACCAGAATGTAAACTATCATCTGTCCCTTCAGAAACTTCTGGACCAGGAGGCTTAGAATTTCCACAAACAGCTGTACTTGCCGGATTTAATAGAACCCTTCCACAGTTATCGGATTCGGATGCATAAACTGGAGGGTAAACTTGAGCTGAGGCTAGATAGAGATCCTTGCGAAATGTCAACCCAAGTACATCCAAATCTTCACGTCCATAACGAAATGCTGATAAAACGTGAGTGAACACCTTCCGTCCCTTGACATACTCTGGGTCAACCAATACGACGCCCTCTGAAAAGTAGAAGTTGTATATAAATCACGTAAACTTTGAATTACGATTTCGTATATTCTGTTTGACTAATATGACTAGCTATGCTTATATTACTATATTACTTTTAATATTTATGTGAGGAAACTGAGAGTCCAACATGTAAATGTCTGTAATGCAGAAATAAAGTGCCATAACTTTGACTTCTAGAATGTTAATCTGTCGTCTGATATAATTCAAAGAAAACATTTGATAAAATATCTTTGTATCCACCTTCCAGTTTCTCAATTATAGCCAAAAACGGTTCCCCAATAAGCCACTCCAATTGCACATATGGATTTAGAAGTGCAGTTGTTCTGCAACCAGATGAAATCATAAAGCACTGTAATAATAGATCATTCTAGATAAAATTTGGTTGAAATGAGATTTTGAAATAAATAAGTACAGCATATAACATCCAAAAATATGTGGTTTCTCTGACATCGCGAAACTTTTGTAAGTAACTACAGACATGTAGTAAGTAGAACGAAAAGTTACTGATAATACAAGCTTGATATAAAGACAGTTAACATGTCATTTGTACATATTACACATAAAAGTATATTTCGAAATATACATTCCGAATTCGAAATACATATTAAACTCAAATAGATTACACAGGCCTCACCAATCGGATCTACATCTGCTAGACTGTCGATGAAATCCCTTTTGCACAAGTATGTTGTGATCTACGAGAAAATACAGTTAAAACCACTATTACTTTTCCATTTGGGCTGCTTTTCTTGAAGACCCTATCATAAAGAAGTAAAGGAAAACTGCTACATACTAACCTGGTACCCTGTTTTTTGTGAAGATTAGTTCCACTGTCATCCATAATATCATAGTGTATTTTAGCCAATTAACAAACTGTCATCTCCCACAACAAACGAAGACACCAATCGACGTCAAATTGGCGCTTTCCTTTCATTCATTACATTTAACCTAGGAGTTATTTCTTGGTGTGATCAAACAAAATATTTGATTCGTTAAGAATGACTGTGTGTAGTATTTTGAGGGGGACAAAAATCAAAGATTAGAAACAGTGTTTTGAGATGGTATTGTTGTCTATCAAAAAAGCTGATGTATTCTGTGCAACAATCATCACACCTTTTTTCAACTCCTAGCACCAGAACTAATAACTTGGTTGGTTTTACTATTTATTATATGAGATCCAATAGAAGGGTGTGATGTAAATGTAGTGGATTGTTTGTTCTGTCATGGGAAGAAGAGGGAGAATTAGAAGTACTGGGCCAATATTCATGTTCGTTTGTCTTAGTTTCTATATGGATAGTGGGAGAAAAATGGTCAGATGGTAGTTTGGCGAAAGAAATATGTTTAGGAGTGACAGGTGGAGTAGAGTGGGTCGAATGGATAAGAAGGGTATTTAGGGAGTGGCCAGGAGGTTTAGCCAAAGAGCCTTTTATGGTGGAGGACAGTCATCAATGGAGAGAAGGATATATCACTCCTCTTTAGGTTGGAGCGTATAAAGACTGGTCTCAAAAGAGTGGGATCATCGCCCTCGAGACTTCCTAGAAACACTGTCGAGAGGTGGAAACAAAAATGGGAGAGGTGGTGTTAATGTCGAACTGAGGAGACCAAAGAGTTTCGTAGAGCAGCTAGACTCGGAAAGTGTCTAGAATCACTAAGTGGGTGGCCAAATAGGCCAATGCTGTAGCTTTCTTGAGTACTTTGGATCATTACAGCCCCGTTATGGGTAGCTAAGCGTGTTGTGTGTTTCGGGTTAGAAATGAGACATTGTCTGAGATTATTGTCAATGGAGGTGTTTCTATTATGTATGGTTGTGTTCTGATTCTTGGAACTCTCAATACTCACTCAAAGTAGGCGTGATGCTAAATAGGTATAGTCTAGCACTAGAATGAGTGGATGTTGCAGTTCACAGTGTTTGTCTTAGGGTCATCTAGTGCTATCGACAGATGCAGGTTGTGAGCTATGTGTGCTGCATTCCTTGTGTTATTTCGCATTTCCGTGATCGAGCAGCTACAGATATTATAACAATTTCTATGACACTTTAAGTCTTTTTGTACTTTTATCGAAGCCTCTGGAGTGATAATGGGGAACTGTTAAGGTATAACTGGATTTAGATTCAAAAGTATTTGAGCGTTTTAGCTTAAGAGGAATGATTGCAGCTGCTTTGTGTACAGTTTTGTAATTTAGTGATCGGGATTCACCGTTACATTAACTAGATATTTGTACGGTTATGAGTCGTGAATAGTTTGATTGAGGTTATGTCCCGCTTGACTGCTCTTAGAGTTGCCAATGATGAAAGTATTAGGGTTTGAAATAAAATTGTTATGGTTGACATGGTTGCCTGCAGACGTGTTGCAAGTGTCTATTGGGTGATCAAGTACACTAGTGCACATGTCTCTAGTGCTAGTTACTCCCGCCGTTTACTCGTGCTTGGTTGAATTTCTTCAATTTGACATTCAGAGCACTGGGCATAAATCACATTGCGTCAAGATCAATCCATGGACAGCGTAATGCTTTGTTTTTATTAGACAGTCGGATCCTTCTGGTCCGTGCCAGCTCTGAGTTAGCCGTCGCGCGCTAGACCATGGAAGTACAGCCGCTTGACGCGACGTGGAACAAGTCCTCGCGCGTTGCTGGCTGCAGGACACTAACAGCTGAAACTACTCACGATCGACCCGGGTCAGAATTCAGTAACCTAACCACAATGCGCACCGAAGCAGGCAAAGCAGCAAAAAAACCAGCCCCCAACTGGACCGACACGTACCTGATCCCGGTCTGTCTGACTCGGCCTCCAGAGCCAATCCTTCTCCCGAAGTTACGGATCCGATTTGCCGATTGGCCCCACCTAAATTGTTGAATTGCCAAACGCTTTTCACCTTGGAAACCTGATGCGAATATGGATACGGCCTGCCACGAAAAGTATACTGCTTCGCTCAGATTTTCAAGAGCTGACAAAAGCGTTCCGGACACCACAAAAATGGTGGTGCTTCACGGAGGGTAGCCCCCTATCTCCGGACAAGCCGATTACCAGGGGGTGGATGAACTCCTAACAAAGAAAAGAGAACTCTTCCCAGAACTCCCACGTCTCCGAGGTTGACTGCATTACCGCGCTGGGCGCACGCCGAACCAAAGGGCCGACACGCATCAATCTCCGTGGACAGGGTCGGGAATATTAACCCGATTACTTTTTGCTACAGGGGGCTGCAATGCAACAGTACTTTGCAGATTACTGAACAAAGCCCTCGAACGGACAATGTCAGGCACCCCCGTCTCTGTTCCGATTTACCGGATCACTTAGGATCGCCTGACCCATGGTTAACTGCTGTTCCCATGGAACCCTTCTCCACCTCGGCTACAAACACCAAGATATGCGCATGTGGTTGCTTCACCTAGGCTTCCCGCGAGCCACAGCGACCCTCCTACTCGTTGCCGTTACTCCATACCTGAACCAAGTGCAGCTTGCCATCACACAGCATAGGCCCAGCTAACAGCAATGGTCCGGTATAGGTCCAACGCTCAAGCACCATCCATTTTCATGGCTGGTTGATTCGGCAGGTGAGTTGTTATACACTCCTCAGCGGCTTCCGACTTCCACGGTCACTATCCTGCTGTCTAGACCAACCAACATCTTTTGTGGTATCTCATGAGCATCGTGTTAGGCACCTTAATCGAACGTTCGGTTCATCCCACAGCACCAGTTCTCCTTACTAAAAAATGGCCCACTTGGCACTCACATTCAATGCAAAACTCCAATTAAGCGAGTTCAGCTTCTCACTCACTGATAGTTTGAGAATAGGTTGAGGATGATTTCTCCCCAATACCTCTAATCATTAGCCTTACCGGATAAAACTGTTTATATCTCAGAACGCCAGCTATCCTGAAGGAAACTTCGGAGGGAACCAGCTACTAGATAGTTCGATTAGTCTTTCGCCCCTATACTCACCTTATACGATTGATTTGTACGTCAGGATCGCTACGGTCCCCCACCAGAGTTTCCCCTGGCTTCAACCTTCACAAGCATAGTTCACCATCTTTCGGGTCTCAACGTGTACGCTTTTGCTCCGCCTCGACGGTGCACACTACACGAGGTCACATATCTACGTCATGGGACGGGCCGGTGATGCGCCCACTGTTCGCAACCTGGAAAGTACAAGCAAGACAACAGAATCTCACTTCAGTCCGGACAAGCCGAACATTAACCGTCACTTCGCCTTTGAGTTTCGTAACACACGATGACTCGCACACATGTCAAACTCTTTGGTCCGTGTTTCAAGACGGGTCGGGTAGATCGACTACCACTACACTACAGACTATTGGCCCAATGCAGAACACACACGTAACCGCTAACGTGACGAAGTCAAGCCATCAGCCGACCAGCTGAAGGTAGTAACAAGCCGACAAGACTCGACAATGCCCGAAGGTCTAGGTACTCATGCGAAGCCGCCATCTCCAACACACCGCACAGATTCACTACAGCCGGTTAGTAGCTCACAGCTCATAGATGGGCCAAAGAGTCACCTGCCGACCCAACCAAGACTGAATACACAAGCTGAATACACAGAACAAGTAAGTGAAGGGGAGCATCAGAACTGAAAAACGTAAATATGCGGAAGATTTAGCAATGACGGTGGAAAAGGCTGTAAGAGAAAGAAACATGAGACAATTGTATGACATAACAAAGAAACTCTGTGGAGATCACCGTAAACCAGAACGGCCAGTGAAAAACAAGCAGGGCAAAGTATTCACTAACACTGAAGAACAGCGAAACAGGTGGGTAGAACATTTCAAAGAACTTTTGAGTCGACCAGCCCCACTGAACCCACCTAACACCGAAGTAGCACTCACGGACCTCCCAATCAATGTTGCCCCACCGACAATTGAAGAGATCAGCATGACCATCAGACAAGTAAAGAACGGCAAAGAAGCAGGACCAGACAACATTCCAGCAGAGGCACTGAAAGCAGACGTAACAGTAACTGCAAGGATATTCTACATTCTTTTCAATAAGATTTGGGATGAGGAACAAGTACCAAAAGACTGGAAAGTAGGACTTCTGATCAAAATACCAAAGAAAGACGAGCTGGGCAAGTGTGATAACTACAGGGGCATCACTCTTCTCTCAATACCGAGTAAAGTCTTCAACAGGGTACTGTTAAACAGGATGAATGACTGCGTAGACGCCCAACTTCGAGACCAACAGGATGGATTCCGTAAGGATAGATCGTGTACAGATCAAATCGCAACTCTACGGATCATTGTGGAACAATCAATTGGATGGAATTCATCACTCTACATCAACTTCATTGACTACGGAAAGGCATTTGATAGCGTGGACAGAACAAAACTATGGAAACTTCTTCGATACAACGGCGTGCCCCAGAAGATAGTCAATATCATACAGAATTCCTATGATGGATTAAATCATGCAAGCAGGACAGCTCATAGACTCGTTCGAGGTGAAGACCAGCGGCAGGCAACGTTGTTCGCCCTCACCCTTTCTCTTTCTCCTTGTGATCGACTGGATTATGAAGACGTCAACATCTGAAGGAAGGCACGGGATACAGTGGACATCTAGGATGCAGTTGGATGATCTAGACTTCGCAGATGATCTGGCCCTTCTATCGCAAACGCAACAACAAATGTAGGAGAGGACAACCAGTGTAGCAGCAGCCTCAGCAGCAGTAGGTCTCAATATACACGAAGAGAAAAGCAGGATACTCCGATACAACACAACGTGTACCAATCCAATCACAATTGACGGAGAAGATTTGGAAGATATAAAAACCTTTCCATATCTGGGCAGCATCATTGATGAACAGGGTGGATCTGATGCGGATGTGAAAGCGCGGATAGGCAGAGCAAGAGCAGCATATTTACAACTGAAGAGCATCTGGAACTCAAGACAATTGGCAACCAACACCAAGGTCAGAATTTTCAATACAAACCC